TTCACTTTCTTAACCAGTGTTGATCCTGTCTCCTTCTGAAACCTCTCTCTCTCAATTGCTGTTAATTTTTTCTCTAAAACCTTAGTTCTTAACTTATTCAGCTTAAATCCTGCAACCTGACCAAATTCTTGAAACAGTTCTATTACTCTTTTAGTACTAGATTCTGGTTCCTGTAATGTCAATACTAAGTCATCTGCAAATGCTTTCAATTTATACTGTTTAGCTCCGACTTGTATACCCTTAACCAATTGGTCCCTTCTAATCATGTTTAAAAGTACCTCTAGGACCGATATAAAAAGCAATGGGGAAATTGGGCAACCTTGTCGTGTCCCTTTCTCTATCTTAAATTCCTCCGTCACCACATTGTTAACAATTAGTTTAGCCTTTTGTTCAGAATATATTGCACTTATACCGTTTTCAAAACCTTGACCTACCCCCATCCCCTGTAAGTTCTTCTTCATAAAACTCCAAGAAATATTGTCAAAAGCTTTCTCCGCGTCCACAAATATCAAAACTGCCTTGGTATTAATATTCACTTGTAATTTTTCTAAAATATTAATTATGTTTCTCATATTATCAGACAAGTGTCTACCCGGGAGAAAGCCTGCTTGATCTTTATGAATCTTTTCCACTAGCACTTTTTTTAGTCTTTTAGCCAAAATATCTGCAAAGATTTTATAATCCACATTAAGCAGTGATATGGGGCGGTAGTTCTTGAGCTGCGTCTTTTCAGTCTCTGTTTTCGGTATAAGTGTAATATACGCTTCCTTCCACGACTCTGGTGCCCTTTTCCCTTCCAATATTTCATTACAGACTTCCTTTAAAGGTTGTACTAACCATTCTTTCAAAGATCTGTAGTATCTAGAAGTCAGTCCATCCGGTCCTGGAGATTTACCTAATTGCATATTCTGAATGGCACCTTCTACCTCCTGTTCAGTTATTTTATAATTCAACATTAATTTGTTTTCTTGAGAGATTTTTGTAATCCATTTATTTTCAAAAATCGATCTATATCAATTTCTTTCTGTGGCCCTTGTGTATATAATTGTTTAAAGTACCTCTGGAAACAGTTTCTAATCTTAACTGGGTTCTGTATGTTCTTTCCTTCCACTTCTAGATTTATAATAGTGTTTAGTTTTTGTCTTTTTTTCATTTGCCAGGCCAACAATTTCCCACATTTATTAGCTGACTCAAATGTCTTTTGTCTCATTTGTTTAATTTTCCATTCTATTTCCTGATTCATCATTTTCATATATTGTACTTGATATAACTTTATTTCTCTCAAGATTTCTTGCGACTTTGGTTTTGCTCTCAATTTCTTCTCACTTTCCTTTATTTTCTCCAAAACTTTATCTTTCTTCTCATTTTGGATTCTCTTCTTTATTGCATTCTGTTGTATCAGAAACCCTCTCATAACCGCTTTACTTGCGTCCCAGATTACTCTTTTTTCAACATTAGTGTTCATGTTTATCTCGAAATAGTCTCTCAAGGTTTTTTGGGCCTTCTTAGTCACTTCTTCATCTCTAAATAAGGTGTGATTCATCCTCCATCTAAAAGAGCCAGTTGGTGTTAGTTTCATCTCCATCTTCACGGCATTATGGTCGGAGCAGGTTTTTGGACAAATTTCCACTTTTCTTGTCTTTGGTGCCATTCCTCTAGTTACCCATATTTGGTCAATTCTTGTCCATGTCATTTTGGCTTCAGAGAAGAAGTTTCCCTCTCTACCCAAGGGATTCTTTGTTCTCCAAATATCAACTAAATCCAAGTTGTCTGTCATCTCAAAAAAGGTTTTCGGTAGTCTACCATCCTTAGTGACTACCTGTCTTTGTGCCTTGTCCATATTTGTAGATACCACTCCGTTCATATTCCCCCATCAAAATCACATTATAGTCCAAATAGTCCATCAATTGAATTGAATTTCTTTCACATCCCAAGACTACCAGAAATCAGCAGGCAAAGATAGCCACGGCAGGCAGATAAGCTTTACTATCAGGTAAAGTCCGCAGGAGGCTTCTGAATGGGGTATAGCTACAATGGCTGGTTGAAAAGTTGATGCCCAACTCTTCTCTCAATTTGCCTTTGACTTCTACAACACTAGATCAAGTTCTTAATCCCTATTTATCTCCCTTATCATAACATTAACACTCAACATCTTTCCACATGCAAACATCATCGGGAAATGCTAATTTGTTTGTATATATGCTGAACAAAGCACATTCCAAAGGATGAGCTCTGAGATTCTGTTATCTGAAAAGTAATCCAGTGCTACAACAATCAATATGAAGACAGCATTTACATCATCTTGTCTTCCTGTGCTTGCTTTTCCTGGCATAATCCTGGGTCGAAGTCCAATTCCCCATTGCCTTTGATTCAGACATTCCACCATTTTTCACCTTGTGGAGGTCTTGATGAGATGTAAAGACATGCATGAAATAAACAAAAGCTGGAACCTACCATCTGAGTTCCATTAATGACTACCCTTTACCACTTTTGCATTATACACCATCATTTGAAATAAGTAAAAGCAAAATAGTGCCTAGACTCCATCTTTGAGAGGTCCCTGGGCAGCATGTATGCTGGTGGAACAGCTAAGGCTTACCTGGCTGTGATGGTGACTGCTAGCTACACTTGGGCTGCCATTTTCCCATAATGCTCCATAGCGATACTATGCCAGGGTACTGTGGGAAATTAAAATGACAGCTAGACTGCTGCTGCTTAGAGCATTGGTCCAGGAAACATAATAATAAACAGGGCCCAAAACAGATGTCAACAGTGGGGTTTGCCAGAATGGGGAGGTCCAAACAGGTGTGCAAGAGTGGGGAGGTCCAAACAGTACTCAGATGCTGGGTACTGACTAGTGGAGGCTGAACCATTAAAGTGAATGGGGTACTGCCTTACCAATTATAGTCTACTCCTTAGTCATCATCAGCTATCATGTGCCTGCCTTCTTACTTACAACCAGTCTAGAGGGTGGCCTTGACTTTCAGCCTACTTCTTAGTCTTAGTGTTGCCCTGTGCAGGAAGGAGGAGGAGGCGGCGGTGAAGAAGGAAGGACAAAATTAGAATTAGTTGGTTCTCCCTGTCAATAGTTCTGGCTCCTCCTACTGTTGGTATGACCTTTTTCTTCCCCACCTATTCCAATGGACACCAGCCATCTCTGATGCTCATACTGGCCCTTATTGCCATGGCTTACACCTAAGAACCGGCCACATTTCTCTTCACTCCCAAGAAAGTTGCTTTGTATAGAGCTGAGCTACACAGTCAGCAGCTCTCTGTGTTGAATATGGGCTGTATTTCCTCAGAAGGCACACCCACTCACATACATACCAATGTGCATGTACTGGCTGCACATCCAAAACTAGCTCATCAAAGATAAAGAATAGATGCGGATGTACAAAGCATTTAAAATACCCCTTTCTTTCCGCCCAGGGAGGCCTTGTCCTCTGCTCGCACTTCAGAGCCGGTGTGTCGCACAAGGATGTGCCTTGGAGGCAGCAGTCTTTCCTCATCCTTGTCCACTCTCCTGCAGCAGCTATGAGCTGCCCAAAGGAGGAGGCCAACAACAGAGGTCTTGGAGAGGCAACGGGGTGTTCGCTTGCAGCCGCCACTGCTGCCACTGCTCAGGACGAGCACCAGCCCATCCTCCTCCCTGAGCTCGGTGGCTGTGCTGTGGGGGGAATAGGGACATTCTGGGATCAAGTAAGAAGCCAAGATGGCTCTTGTAATTCCGGGACTTACAATGGAAAATAGGGACACTTGGAAGGTATGCTAACTATCCTAGCATCATGCCCCCACTTGCACCTTATCGAAGTTCTTGTGATGCACTTCTTCATAAACTTTCATGTATCAATAAATCTTGGCTCTCTGGTTCCATCCTTTGCTTCCCTCACTTCTCTAAGGCTTAAAAAGGATCACTGGAATAAAAACAACAAGTGGAATGAGTGAATCATTATTTCACGGTGTATTCTTCACCTAGTAATGGCAGTGCTTGATCTCCAAATGATCAAGCCAAATGACTCCATTCAGGTCTCTCTATCTGGGCCCAGTCTCCCCGTCTCCTGGAAGTATGTACTTGAGAAAATGCTGCCCTTTTGCATCCCAGCTTTTCCCACTTTTAGAGCAAGTGAATTTGCCCAAGTCACCACTTGGTCACTTTGTTGACTATTCCAACTGCAGAAAGCCTGTCTGGATAATTTCCAGTTAAAACTCTACTCACACAAGTTCTATATATCAAGCACGTGCTGTGTCCTATCAAATAGATGTGGAACAATATTTTATTCTAGTCTTGTAGGTAGACTGAAAGCTCCCTGACTGCTTTGCTGTGACTCGAAATGCCTGATGCATTTTAGCTCCTAAATCAATATTAGTTTATGTCTAAAACTCTTGGTTTTATGATACAAGTCTCATTGACCTATATTACAGCTGTTCTCTCAACTCCAAAATCATATCTAGCCTCATTGGAACAGGTTGCACAGAAGGACTGGGTCCAAGGTCACTCTGAGTGGTGTGGGAACTGCCAAATTCATTTGAAATGTCACACCAAGTTCATGTGCATTCATTTTTTATTTGTTTACAGCACATAACAGCAAAAAAAACCAAAACCAAAAGCCAACAAACAGACGGTGCCTACAAGAAATCAAACAAACATATGCAATATAATCAAATATTTAAGACATACTGCTCCTTAGTTATCAATTCATCGGAAAGCAAAAATGTTGACTGGTCAGTATTAAATTGTGTCTACAACATGCAATAATAAATGGCGACAAATGAAACACAGAATTAGGAACATGGAACACAGAAAGCTGCCTTTTGTAAATTGCTTTGAGTTTTTTTCTACGATCAACTGGTAAACAAATTTAAATAAATACATATATAAATATAAATTTAAATAAATACATACATACCAAGTCAGACCATTAGATCATCTACCTCAGTATTGTCTACATTGACTGGTAGTTGCTGTCCAGGGTTTTAGGCAAGAGTCTCCCAGCTGTATCTGGAGATGCTAGAAGATTGAACCTGGGGCTTTCTGCATCCAAAGCAGATACTCTACCATTGAGCTAAGAGCCTTCCTAGTTATTCAGTTTTGAAATTATTTTCATTTGTTTTTAAAGGATGTTAACTTAGGCATTGCCACAATACCCCACTTCTCCCATTATCCAGTCCTTTACATTCGAAATATTGGATAATTTCCAGTATTTAGAATATGACAAGTCTGGCAGCTACAACCATCCAACTAAACAGCTCCATATGTTCTTTATGTATAATGTCTTTTGTAAATGTTTATAGAGGGAAAAGCATCTTTTACATCAAGGGTGGGGAACTTATGACACTCCATATGTTGCTGGACTCCAACTCCCTGCAGCCCCAGCCTTCATGGACAGTGGTCAGGCATGATGAGAACTATAGTATAGCAACATCTACATGGCCGTCAGTTGCTCACCTCTGGACCTGCATTAACAATTGTACAACTAAGATAGTTCTTATATCCCCCCCCCAAAAAAAGGAACTGCAGCATTTTATTTAATGAACTTTATTTTAAAATCTATGTCAGAATTTGTTGTAGATGTCAGAACCTGAACTGCACAGACTGAAGCATTTGGTTTTTTTTTAAAAAAAAAAACCAAAACACAACACAACAAAACAGGAATTGCTCCCCCAAGTCTCTAGCCCATGCTGTTCTGGTAATGTAGGATTGCAGAAAACCAGAATGGGAAGAACTACAAGGCACCCTGACTTGATTCTGCCCTTCCTTCATGGTTTCTGCATTTTTTTTTCATTATCATAAAATTGGAATGGTGTGGAACCACAAAGAGTAGCGACCACTCCACTTTTATAAGGTAAGAACTAGAGGTATGCACCAACCCCAAGGCTGTGCACAGATACCTGTTTCAGCACTTTGGAAAACAGCCCCCTCAGTTGACATCCCACTTCACTTTGGCTCAGTTCTCACTTTGGCTCAGATAAGCTCTGGCTGTGTCTAAAGTGGCCTATTTAAGTTCTTAATTCTGGATTCATCCAAATCTGATGTACACCCCTAGGATGAAGAGGCCTGTGTTAGGTGTGTGACAGAATTCTGACAAGACTTAACTATGAGACTCTTGCCCTGTTCATGCATTACTTACTTGTAAGGCACTCACAGCTAGAGCATGGCCATGCTTTATGTCCCAGCCCAATGTTGCACTGCCATGGAAGTTCCATCTTTCAACATTGTGCACTGAGCAAGTTGAAGCTTATGCACAAGGGCTCCATATCATAAGGAACATACAATTGCATTGAATTATTGATTGCATGAAGCCCCTAGGCACAAGACATTGGGATTCCCTTGCAGCTCAGCATGTGGACATTAAAGGGTGGAGTTTGGACAGCTACACAATGCCATTGATTCACTCTTTCACTGTGCTTGTGATGAGCACTTGACAAACAGCAGCAGAAGGAACCATTCTTGTGACAGAGTGAGGATTCTCAGTAGCTAACCTGGTGACTTCTCATCTGAGCATCTGTTGATTGAATAGTGTAAACAAAGATAAGTGAGTAATTTGAGCATTTACAGAAGAAAAACATCTCAGTAAACAGATGACACACTTAGCTCATATTAGTCAGTCAGTCAAGCAAAGGAATCATGACACTTGGAGGAACACAAGACAAAATTTACTGGCGGGATTTCATCACCATTGATTTTCCATATCTGCTTGAGGGCTTCCCACAAAAATATAGCATTCTGCTCAGATGCACGGCATTCCTCTGTAATTGCAGAGATCAGCCCAGGTACACAGGCAGATGATTGATGCAGTGGCCTAGCAGGAGGAACCACAAACCAGAGAAGGTGCATTTAAGTAGGATTGTGAATCTACACCACACTGTTTTCTTTCTCAGTGGAGTTCACCTCACCCCCTACTCCCGGCACAGAGAAAACATGATGGAAAATGTGTCCTTGTTAAAACTTCTGCATGTGAAAGGCACAGTGACAAGGCCAGGGGAAAAAATTTGGTCACATTAAATGGACTAAAATATAAAAGGATGCATCCCATGTTTGAGTTGCCTCCTGAAGTCAAGTCTATTAGCTAAGGAACAGCAGCAACCATATCCTCCATACCAGATTCTTCTAGAATCCTTTCCAAATCCAAACGTCCAAAAGGTTAACCTTCTCTCTCCCCTGGTAAGCTAACCAGCTGACATCTTACATGGATAGGGAGCCTGTGGCCTTCCAGATGTTATTGGACTGCAGCTCTCATCTGCCTCAGCCAGCATGGCCAATGGTCAAGGGATGATGGGAACCAGAGTCCAGTAATACCTGAAGAGCCATAGGTTCCCCATCCCTGGGCAAGTAAACGCTTGTGCAGTCAGGTAATGGCTGTTGGAACCTGGAAAAAACAGCAGTTCTAGACTGTACCTCCTAATCCAAGATGTAACCTTCAAATCAAGAGTTAGCAACTCTAGTCTCTCTTACAATTCTATCTTGTTAACATTTGGAGATTTTCTTAAATAAATTTTCTTCAACAGGCAGGAAAGTTTCCTTCTCTAGAATAAAATTTCCTGCTAGACCAGCACACGCTCAGATGCCTATATTGGGTTCAATTTGTAACCATCAGAAATGAAAGCTTAGGAAGAGGAAAACAAAGCTGGAGCCCAATCTGCTGGCAAAATTAAGGTTTGCTAATGGTTTTTAACAGCACACACAAGGAAAATAATGTAGTGTTATTGTTGTCTTTTTAAAAAATGTGCTGGTAAACTGCTGAGGGGCTCAGTGTGGAAATTTCATATCTTTCCAGAATTAGAGGGCAATGTGAATTCCCATGTTGTGTTTTCATCGCAGCATTCACACATTTAACAATTCCTGATGAAAGCTACTGAATGTGATGAAATATATAATTCCTCCCCCCCCTGCAAAAGCCATTTGTGAAAGGATTATGGAAATAGTCATTTTTTCCCACTTAGAGCAAACAGTTTCTATAATTTTTCACTGTGTTTTTCATCCCCCCCCCCAAAAAAAAAGAGAGGAGGAGGACCATTTCTATAGAGTGTGACAAAAGGATTACTGGGCTGGCTTCCATTGCATTACAAGGCTTGCACCACCTGCTCCCAGCTTCTGAGGTCTGCCCTTCTCCTTAATCCTAGCTAAAGGGAGGGATTCTCCAGAAGGGTGCAGCTTCATTGTGTTCTGTCAGCACCAACCAACAAGGAAAGCAATTGGTACCAACAAGGAAAGCAATTATTATGCTACATTTTCCTTCTGGGGAGTGTGCTTGGACTGATTAGGGTGGAGGCAAGCACATGGAAAACCTTACATAACAATGAAAGGTCCACATTTATGTTCCAGGTGAAATGCAGCTTGCATACGACTCAGCTACCCCCTGTGATAAACTGGTTTAAAAGAGCATAATATCAGCCATGCTGCATCAAACTGAGCCCCATCTAGTCTATTTGGCTGGAGAGGCCAACCTTTCTTAATGAAGGAGATTGAAGGTACAGATCTGGAAGGCACTGCCTCTGAAGATGAACCCCATTGGATCATACCAAAGACCAGTGGCGTAGCGTGGGGGGTGCGGGGGGGCCGGCTGCACCGGGCGCAACATCTGGGGGTTAGGGGGCGCAAATCCACGGGTTAGGGGGCGCAAATTACTTGCCTTGCCCCGGGTGCTGACAACCCACGCTACACCACTGCCAAAGACCCACCACTGTTCCCACAGTGGCCAACCCAATGCTATGAGAAGCCAGCAAGCAAGACCTTAGTTCAACAGTGCTCTCCCCACTTGTGATTCCCTGCAATTGGCATTCACAGACAATATTGCCTCTAGCAGAGGAGGAAGAACATAGCCATCATGCCCAGCAGCCAATGATAGCCCCATCCACCACAAATGTACTCTTTTGAAGTCATCCAAGTAGGTGGCCATCCCTAGATCTTATGAGAGTGAATTGGATTTATTGTCATGACTGACTTCCATCTTGCAAAAAGGCATTCTATTTTATTGCTCTTCTACCCCCTCCCAACCTTCCACCTAACAAGGGCAGCTAATTCCTTTTTGAAGAGTTGGCGAACTATGCTGGAATTTGCAAAGTTTGGATTTTCCTCCTCTGGGTGAACCATTGCCAACACAGTCCTAGGCATGTTTAGTCTGAAGTAAATTCCAGTATATCCAAAGGAATTTAATCCCAGGTTGAAAATATATAGGATTGCAGCCTGAATGTGTTTAATGATGCAGGGCTCATTGGAGCGCTTCTGTTCAAGAGCAGTGCCTCCATCATGCATTGTAATCCATCTAATGTTATCGTCCCAGCAACCTTGTGATGTATGGATATGCATTATACTTTGTGATGACTATGGATATGCATTATATCTGAGCAGGGATTGGAACCCAGCTCTCTCCATTCACTATCCATTACACTAGTGTTCTTCAAACTTGGGTCCCTAGATGCCATTGGACAACAACTCCCGCCATCCCTTGCTAGCTTAGTCAATAGTCAGGGCTGATGGGAGTGGTAGTCCAACACCACCAGGCAGTTCAAGGCTGAAATCAGCTCTTGCACAGAAGAAAGGCACAGGAGTTGAAAGAAATCAGCAGTCAAGTAGTACACTCACTGCGTATACAGGGGGAGTATTTCCACTCTGTGTTTGTCTCTATACTGAGTGCTGAGCTATATATAAAGCTACCATTCTGGCAAACAACAAAATTTAAAACAACCTAAATGAACTGATCATCAATAGTAATTAGGCCACACTTCTATTTGCAATTAATCTATTAATATGCTGTAAACAAATATGTGCTGAGAAAAACAGAAGTGGTGGAGTTCATTTCTAAAAACTGAGTAGGCTACAGGCATATTTCACGCTTTGTTGTAATGGTATCCAATATGCCAGGTGGTCCACTTCTTCTTTGCTGGAAAAATGCCATCATGAGTGGGAGGTGCAGGTCATATCAAAGCATCCTAGGACAGGAATCCAGTTAAGCTGGTGTGAAATAGCAACAGCAAAGACGGAACCCAGTTGGATAGCTTTACGAAAGATCAGAAGAACTGCAAGAGATAGGGGCTACATTGCCATAGTGTTCTAGGGGACTGGTAGCATGCATATGGGGCTACAGCATTAGGGCATATAAAAGGAAACATGAAATACTTTGGAGAGAAGAATAAAACGGGCAATATGGGAGTTCCTTAGATCAAGGTGCTTATATACATTTTCTTAATTTTCTGTCACAACTTTTGTTAGGGTGCAAAAGCATTGGGCAGGATCCCACAGCCAATGCAGGAGGGGCTGGGTCTTCTTAAGAGGTCTTGAGCATGTTGCACTATGACAGTGACTCCAGCTTAGGGAGCTGGGCCACCACACACTCAGGTTGATGTGAGGGCCCACAGGAGCAGCCCATGCTATGGTGGGCCTAAATGATGGACAACTTCAACCCAACAGGAGGGCTGGGTGATACCACTGGTCAGCCAGCATACTCCCGCCATGTCCCACCAAACTAGGGTATTGCAGTAGTTAAGGTGTGGGGAACCATTGCCCCCTCCGACATTGTGGAACTACAACTTCTACCAGCCCCATAAGGTATAGCCAATGGCCAGGGATGATGGGAGTTGGAGTTCAGAAGCATCTGCAAGTCCACAGGCTCCCCACTCCTGCTGTTGTCAACAAAATTTCATCCCACATTGGGACTTTGTGTTATTGATTCTGAATAGCATGCCAGATGAACTTGGGCTAGAAAGGGGATTCTTCTTCCTTGTCCTATTGATTAGATTCTTTCAGCAAAGCTACAAGTGGCAGTAGATATGGCATACATTGCTTCACCACCTTACTAAAGAGAACAAATAGGTTGTGAAATGACTGAAGCACATTCTCCTTTCCTTTCCTCCCCCCGCCCCCTTTTAAGCCCTTGTTAACCGACCAGCATGAAAGTTGTAATGAGAGCATGTCCTATCCCAGAGAGCGCAGACCACGTTAAATAGGGGAAATTAGTCTGGCTGTGCAATTATGCTCCTGTTGCAGTTTTGGGTGCTTTATCATGGTAGGAATACTGTACAGAAATAAAAATATGAAATTAACATTGAACTGTGCAGGCTGGCCTGGAGGAAACACATAAAGCTGCCTTTTACTGAGTCAAGGCTATTGGTCTGTCTAGCCCATAATTGTATGTACTGACTGGCAGTAACTATCCTGGCTTTCAGGAAGGGTATTATTCCAGTTCTTCCTGGAGATGCCAGGGATTGAGCCTGGGGCAGTCTGCATGCAGAACAGATCCTCTACCACTGAGCCATGGCTTCATCCCTCCAAACTGAAGACAGTTAAATCACCTTACCCAATGCCCTGCTGGCTATTGACTGGTGCGGAAGAAGTGAGAGCACACTTTTTCTGTTTTCACACTCACTCCAGTGTTCCTCTCACACCTAAAACATTGGGAATCAATTGGTTTGGACCGTTTGTGGTCAAGAACAGCACTTCTCTGTCCCACCGATAACTTGCCTTTTTTATTTTCAGCCTTTTCCCTGGGGCAACAGAGCCTAACAAATCTAGATTCAGGGATATTAGCCTATAAGGGGGCTTTGCAATTTTCTTGTATACATTTGAAAATACAAAACCAAAAACAGAAACTGGCTGCCATGGAGCTAACCCTAGTCACATACTGGCTGCCACAAAGGCTTGGCTCATTCTCTTCTAACAGTTCCAGGGATTCTTCATCAGATATCAGAGGGTCACTCAAGGACACCTTTAACATTAGATTCAGGGGTCCTGCATGCTCCTCAAAGTCCTTGCTCTGTGCATTGCCATCTGAGGCTCCACATCTGGTGTCAGGTCAGGGCTAGGAATGACATCACTGGAAGGTGAGGTCCAGTCATTGGGGCTGTACCATGTCATATTCCTTGCGACAAACAGGGTGGACTCACCGAAGGCAGGAAATTGAATTTAGTTTCCCATACTGTTCCTTTCCCCCTGCAGATGCTAATTAATGTGGCCTGTTCAACTCACTTCTCTCTGTCTCTTTATTCCTCGATCCAGTTCCAAATCATAGTTTGGAATGATGCTTGAAATTGATCCTCTGCCTCTTGCATTTACCAGTTTGTTTCCTTCATTAGTTTGGTTTTCACTTGGAGCACAGTGTGAATATAATGCAGGGTGAACTAGGGCAACACTGTAAGAAGTATTTGAGACAGGCAGAGCCATGCATAGAATGTGATTGCTGCCCAGAAAGATAAAGGAGAGAGCCTTATGGGGACAACTGTTGTGGCTCCAACTCCTCATTAAAATCTCATTACTAAAATATAAAAATATGGGGAACAACCCTGAAAATGGCTTAAATATGAAGCTGCTAATGGAAACCTCTGAACTATTAAGAACTGGAAATAGTAAAACAGATACAAACAACAGAAAGTGCATGAAATTGATGCGAGAGACTGAAATAGATTGTGCAGAGCAACGTGATAAATATTTGAAAAGGAAAGAATTACAGGCCACTTCCATCCCCAGCTGGAGCCTCTGACAGTACATCAACAGTACTAGAGACGTTCAGTTTTAAGGTGTGTGGATTTCCTAATTGGTGCCACAGTGCATCAGCAGTGGGACTGGAAATGGTCCTTCCAAGGGGGCTTGAGGAGACCCTGATTTCCATTATTAACATGTGATAGGTTGGAAGGATCTGTCAGTTTGGGGACTCTCAGTGACTCATTTCTCCAATCTTAAATTCAAGTCATTTGCATTTTACAGAAATTTGTCATCATCATCATCATCATCATCATCATTATATTTCCTCATGAAAATTCACCAGCAATTTTATTGCAAATTTCTCCTAATCAATATATATAGATATGCAATTTTTACTACTGTACACATTTTTGCAAGCAATGTCCCCTTCATTTACAATGAATTAGGAGAAATTCACACTAATACTGCATGCTGATTATTATTATTATTATTATTATTATTATTATTATTATTATTATTTTAAAATACAAACTGATATGGAAATTTGGAAAATTGACTTTAAGATTGGAAAAATCTTAAATTGACATATCTGCCCATCACAAAGTTTCCTATGATCTGGCCATGAATGTATGGCACAATTCTGAATCAGGTGAGTGGGGAGTATAGAATCAGCAGGTCAGCCACCCCTTACAAATTCCTGCTGACTCATACCAGCCAGGACATGAAGTGAAGTGAAGACAGGTGGAGGCGAACTTACTTTTTCCCTTTTGTGGGTATTTTATTTTTTTAATGTGCACTCACACTTTACACCGTGGCTGCCCTTTGCAGGATCGCGCGCGGCGCTTCGGACCCCAGGGAACTTACCGGTTGTGTGGGCTGGCCTGCCTCTCAGGGTTATTCTTTGTAGGTTCACGCCCAGCCTCAGCTAAGTCAAATTCCACTGCTGGGAGGTGAAGCCAGTCACATAAATAGGGCAGCAGCCAGGCAGTTGGCTCAGGAGCTTCACCCACCCAACCCTCCCTTAGTTTAATGTTTCTTGTTTGCAAGTTAACCTTTTTTCTTTCTGTTTAGTGGGTGCTGCTACGGTCTTTGGACTGGTTGCTGTTGAAGAACCAGGAAGAACTTTTCCTGCATTGGCAGGTTTTGTCTTCCCTGTAGCAATTCGTCACAACTTTGGCGGTTTAAGGCCTTGGGTGGAATCCTTTAGTCTTTTCTTTCCTAAAATGGGGGGAGGGGTTTGAAGTGGTGACTCACCCCCCCCCCCATGGCAGTGATTCCAGCGTCCCCTCTTAAAGGGGTTGTAAATGGGTGTCACTGGCCATACACTGAAAGGTTGTCAGTGAACTACCCTGCGTGCGGGGATATGGGCTGGGCTGCCTGCTTACACATGTGTCTTGCAGGGCACCCCCATATCCTATTTACCCTGAGGAGCCCCAGCCAAGGTCTTCCAACATTTGAAAGTTTAATATTAAATCCATAACACGTCGTCACGAGTCATTATTCCTTTCTGGTGGTCCCTGGGGGCTGGTGTGGTCACCATCTGGTCAGGCAATCCTATTGCTTCCAGTGGGATTATTTACCTCAGCTCCAGACTGGCATAGAGGGGGACCTGATTCTGAGACCTCTTTTGACGAAGAGTCTTTGAGTAGTTCATAGGTTGCTTCCACCCACCCCTGTCATGCTCTTGGAATGGTCTGTACCTGGGCCTAGCAATAAACATAGTGAAAAAATGTAGCAGCAGGAGACCCCTGGCTGTAAAGCTACCCAAAGAAATATTTGTTGGTAGAAAGGCACCTCCAGTTTATTCTAACCACCTCCAGCCAGCTGATCTAGGGACTAGGATTTCTCTGCTCAGTGGTGTTTTAAAAGGACTGAGCAATTAATAGATCTGCCTCCATGGATCTTGTTAACAGCCTGGGACCAGCTTTGTTGAAGGATTGACTGGCCCCGTGCATGCCTACTCAATCGTTTAGACCTGTGGCACTTTTACAAGTGCTATTTAATGTTCATTGCGCATCAGTGAAGAGTTGATCTTTCGGTGTGGCAGGATTTATGCTTTGGAAGTTTCCATCTATTAACATGAGGCTGTCACCCTCACTATACTGTTTTAGAATCGGCTAAAAAGCATATAGAAATAATAATAACCAGCAAGCCCATCCAGATGTCTTCTTTAGTTATGCATACTTGTGTTTCATATTTGCTGTATAGTAGAGAATTACTAATTGTTTGATAATTGTTTCAATTAAAGGGGCAACCATATCTAGGCTAGAATTATTTCCTTTTTTTAAATAAGATATTTATTAAGATTTTTTAAAATATTACAATAAAAATGAAAAAAAAATGACAAAAATACAAAATAAAAATAGTTAAAAACACACAGATTTTCCATTACTTATTTTCCTTTGACTTATTTCCCGGACCTCCTCAGACCTCCCTTTTTGTATTCCACTTCAATCTGTTGGTTCAGCAAATCCTTTAAAAGTAATAATATTAAATTTTTACCTATTTATAACCCTTTTTTCATATTCTCTTAAAGCATTACAACTGGAAACCACTTAATTACTATCCAACATCATTCTAGCATTCATTAATTTTACAATATTTCTGTAGATAATCTTTGAATTTCTTCCAATCTTCTTCCACCGACTCTTCTCCCTGGTCTCAGATTCTGCCAGTCATTTCCGCCAGTTCCATATAGTCCATCACCTTCATCTGCCATTCTTCCAGAGTGGGTAGATCTTGTGTCTTCCAATACTTTGCAATGAGTATTCTTGCTGCTGTTGTGGCATACATAGAAAAAGTTCTGTCCTTCTTTGGCACCAATTGGCTGACTATGCCTAGGAGAAAGGCCTCTGGTTTCTTCAAGAAGGTATGTTTAAATACCTTTTTCAGTTCATTATATATCATTTCCCAGAAGGCCTTAATCCTTGGGCATGTCCACCAAAGGTGAAAGAATGTACCTTCAGTTTCTTTAGGCTAGAATTATTTCCTAGTTGATCTGCTGTGGCCCAGAGATGCTTCAGCAAAGTGGCAATGGGAAGATCTGAAATTCCAAGAAAATAGTGTGCAGGTTATTTAATGTACAATAGAACTTCGTGAAAAATGAAAGTTAAATCATACTGAAGGAAGATACTGGAGCATTCCAAATAATTTCCCAAGTATGTGCACAGGAAATGGCAGGTCATCCTGAAAGGCAACACATAGATATGTGAATTTATTGTTGCAATGCATCCCTAATTATTATTGTATAATTATAAGATTATTGCTTAATTTTATAAGGGGCATGGTGGGTGGCAGCAGCTGTGACTATCATGAAGGAACCTTGCACTTCTGAATTTACCACTGCACTACTGAGCAAGAGGCTCAGGGACACAGAGTAGGGATGCTGAAGGTCTAGAAAGGAGTCTGGTAGTCTAGAGAAGAGATGTAGCCTGGGGAGAATCCCAAGGGCTTGATAGAAAGCCCTGGCAAATCCTTGATGAGGCTTGCAGCCTCAGATAGCACATTGTTTGATAACTCATTCAGGATCTTAAAGTAGATACCTGTGTTGTTGCATTATACAGATCATGATCCATTTCTTGAGTTCACTGGGCAATGTGAAACATCAATATATATTCTGAGGATAGCTTGTGCACTGATCAGTTATCCCGAGGCCAGCCTAATTATATATTGATCAAAACTGTGATGTTGTATCCACCAGGTAAAACCTGAAAGCTTTTAACTGTACATTTCTTTGATTTCCATACTTCATTTGAACTTAGAATTTGGGGATTTGTACATCTGTGAACCCACATCAGTCAAAATTTGTGAAAAGGTTTTTGATTTAATAGCACGTATACATGCACCAGCAAA